TGGGTACAATGTGTGAAGCCCATTTCTGGTGTCCCCTGCCGTGATATTGTTGGAATATTGCTGAAAGCGGCGTTAAACCATACTCACTCACTCACTCCACGAGCTAAATACTGCCCTATGCCAAGCGCACGATACTGCAACGGGAGCTGATATATTCACTATCAGCTCCTGAAGCATTTGCCTGATTCATGTTCAGAGACACTTCTTGATATTCATCCAGATTACCGAATGACAGTTCAATTTTTACAGCAGAATCACAGGCAATCTTAACAGCTCTCAAATATATTAATACTTAGTCTTAACATAAGCAGTTCATCATATTTTCTGATTCCCTTTCTTGTCTTCAGGCCATTAAAAATAGTTCATCTGAACATCCATACACTGAATTACATAACGGTCTTGCGACTGGCCAGTACCTAGCCACGTTGGAATTGTTGGTAACACGATGACCGATGCTGCTGCGAAGGCAGCACTCAACAAATCTGTGACACCACTTCTGATCCCGTACACTGATTTTAAACCCGTGATTAGATCTTACATCCGAGGTTACACCTACTTGGGTTGTCAGTCCAGATTTGAAGAGGTCATTATGCGACGATGTCGTATTGGCCATTCCAGATATACACATGAGTATTTGTTGCAAGGTGAAGATCCTCCGTTCTGTATCCCCTGTGATGAAAGAATCACAGTCAAGCATGTCCTGCTTGACTGTATTGATTTTGCCATCACAAGGGATACTTATTTCAATGTTTCATCTATAAAGGATCTTTTTTAAAAACAGTTCTCATTTATAATTAGTTATTGTTTTTTTAAAGGAAATTGAATTGTACTATAAATTTTGATTAATATGTTGTGTATATAATATACTTTTTTTATAATTGGCAGAATAAATGTAATAACTGACATTGTTAGTGGCTGTATCCTCGAAGGGGGTTGAAGTAATGTAAAACGATTGTCCCCTGGAGAGGGTATGTAAGATCACGTCATTCAAAGTAGATTTATTCTTACATTGGTTTTAAATCGTAGTTTATTTGTTAGTTTTAGTCAATGGCTAAACTTGCATACAATCGCCAGCGACTGAAGGGATGGTGTAAATCCTGCTGGGGTCCATGTAGGTAGCAAAGGTACTATAAGTCCCCATGGTCCCTAGTATGGTGATCTACCTTCGATTGCTGGCGATCTATAGCCCGTTTTTACAATGTATTGTTCTGGTTAGTAATAGCTTTTTATGGTCACATACTAGTTTTAAAAAATGATATCTGTGATAAGTCTAGTAATTATACTGTCCTTTGATGACAGGTTTTTATATAGTCTAAATTACTGTTGTTTTTTATGTATGAATTGCTTAGTCACGATATGGCTAAAATATTGCCGATGTGACTTTAAATATTAACTCACTCACTCACTCACTCACTCACTCAATTCTTGATATATTTGATCAGATCTGGACATCAGGAAATTTTCCCCCTTCTTGGCGTAATGCAATAGTTGTTCCCATACCTAAACCTGATAGGGACCTCACAGATGCATAAGAGACCAACACCACTAACCAGGGTGCCGTTTCACAAAAGCCTCTGAGCGCTCCGATCTCCTAAACCATGTCATAAACCTTGTCATAACTTTTAAGGCCGTTTCAGAAAGACCTCTCAGTTTACACTACGTCGTAAAATCACCCTAAATCTACGACAGCCCTCGGGCTCTCCTAAAGTGGTTACGACCTCGCAAATTCAAACCATCATGGCGACACATGCATTCCTTGTATGTTCAACACCATGGAACGAATTGTAAATACAAAATTGATGTGATACTTGGAAACCAACATCCCATAAGTAACATTCAGTCTGGTTTCAGTCAAAATAGAAGTACCATTGGCCATCTAGTACGTTTAGAATCTTTTCTCAAAAGTGCAATTGTTAATAATCAGCATTCAGTATCAATCTTATTTTTATCCCCCGTAAAATAGTTAACCGTTCAATATTTTTTCATCAAACTTTGCAGGTCTGTCAGGCTCATGCTGAACTGGTGCCTTTTGCTATTTAGAAATTTAAGAAATTTTTATTTTTTACGTTTCCATGACAACAAGATGGACTTAGGTTCTGTGAGGGTAGGGTTCGTTTCCGGAGCATAACTCATAAACCGTTCAATATTTTTTCATCAAACTTTGCAGGTCTGTCAGGTACATGCTGAACTGGCGCCTTTTGCTATTAAGAAATTTAAGAAATTTTTACTTTTTTACGTTTTCATGGCAACAAGATGGACTTAGGTTCTGTGAGGGTAGGGTTCGTTTCATGAGCATAACTCATAAACCGTTCAATATTTTTTCAACAACTTTGCAGGTCTGTCAGGTACATGCTGAACTGGTGCCTTTTGCTATTTAGAAATTTAAGAAATTTTTATTTTTTACGTTTTCATGGCAACAAGATGGTCTTAGGTTCTGTGAGGGTAGGGTTCGTTTCCGGAGCATAACTCATAAACCGTTCAATATTTTTTCATCAAACTTTGCAGGTTTGTCAGGTACATGCTGAACTGGTGCCTTTTGCTATTTAGAAATTTTAGATTTTTTAAATATTTTTTTACGTTTCCATGGCAGCAAGAAGGACTTAGGTTCCAAACTCTTCCTTTTTTTACAATTTCCATGACAAGTTCCACCTCGGTTAATAAAGGTTAGGGTTTGTTTAAATTTAATGATGTCATAAATTCTGCAACAGGGGCGGGGGATATAGCCACGTTAGTGGCAAACTCTTGTTATTTAGAAAAAAGCGTATGATACCACATGGAAGTATGGTATTTTAAAAGATCTACATGATTTAGGTTAGCCTAAATTTATATCCCAGGTTTTAACAGACCGACAATTTCAGGCTCATGTGGGAAGGTGATCAGACAACTCTCCTCCACTTGTATAGGTCTCTGATCCGCTTTAAATTAGATTATGGCTCCATCGTTTACAGTGCAGGCTGTAAGAGCAATTTACAAAAACTAGATTCAATTCACCATCAGGGCCTACGATTATGTCTTGGCGCATTTCGAACATCTCCTGTGGATAGCTTATATGTAGAAGCTGTTGAACCATCGTTGAAGCAACGGCGTATCAAATTCTCGTTTCAATACATTACTAAATTACATTCTAACCTATTAAACCATGCATACAACTGTGTTTTTCAACCCCTTTACGAAGAACATTTTCACAGTAAGCCTAAGCTGGTCCCACCACTAGTCATTCGGTTTAAGCCCCACATTACAGCTGCCAATATTGATTCAGATAATATTTCTTCATTCAGGCTTTTGTCTTGTCCTCCTTGACAATTTATCAGACCAGAAGTAGACTTTACTCTTTCACAATTTAAACAAATAAGACACAAATCAATTAATATATCAACAAGAATATATACAAGTTAGGAATAAAAATGAATCCCACCGTTCCATTTCAACAGATGGATCAAAGGATGGTGGCCAAGTCTCCAATGCTGCTGTTATTGGATCCAAAACCATATCATCCAGATTACCAGACCATAGTTCAATTTTCACCCCTGAAGCCAAAGCAGGCTGCTTTGGAATATATCCCAACACAGTCCAGCTGTAAACGGTTCATCATCTTTTCAGATTCATTATCGTGTCTACAGGCAATAAATCGAGCTCTTTTATTCATCCATTCATTTTGGATATTTAAGAACCATACAATAACCTTGCGACATCGTCTTTTGCTGGTTGCCCAGTCATGTTGGAATCACAGGTAACACTATGGCTGATGCTGCAGCAAAGGTAGCTCTCAACAAATCTGTGACACCACGTCTTATACCATACAGCGACTACAAACCTTTAATTAGATGCTATATCAAAGACCTAATGCAAAAGAAGTGGGACACTCAAGCAGTCAGTAATAAATTACATGCAATAAAACCAAGTATCGGTTACAACTACTAGGGTTGTCAGTCCAGATATGAAGAGGTCAATATGCGACGATGTCGCATTGGCCATTCGGGTTATACACACGAGTATTCATTGACAGGTGAAGATCTTCCATTCTGTGTCCCTTGTGATGAAAGAATCATGGTAAAGCATGTCCTCCTTGATTATGTTGATTTTTCCATCACAAGGGATAATTATTCCTAGGTTTAATCCATAAAGGATTTTCTAAATGTACGTTCTCGTTAAGTTCTTGGGTTTTCAAAAGAAATAGAGTTGATTGATAAATTTTGATAATATGAAAGTAGGTAATTTTAATTTGGTAGAATGAATTAATAACTGAGATTGTTAGTGACTGTACCTTCAAAGGGGGTTGAAGTAAGGTAAAATAATTGTCCCCCTGAGAGGGTATGTATTTCATTCAAAGTATTATTCATTTCCCATGGTTGTAATCGTAGAATAAATGCATTAAAGTTTTAACAATCTCCAGTGGCCAGAGGGATGTTGTAAATCTTGCTAGGGTTCCATGCAGGAAGCAGATGTACCGTAAGTCCCCATGGTCCCTTGTTTGGTGGCCTTACTTTGGTCGCTGGTGATATCTAGCCCGATTGTACAATGTATCGTTTGTTATAGTCATATTTTTATGGTTACATACCATTTTAAATCTATACCTGTGATAATCTAGTGCTTTTGCTGTCCTTTGTTGACAGATTTTATAATCTATAATTATGTATTATAACTGAACTGAACTTGATTTAGTCACGATATGGCTGAAATATTGCCAATGTAACCAAAATCTAAACCCACTCACTCATAATGTCTTGAATGTTCTTTTATTTCAAGACCCGCGTTAAAATGTGCAAATAAGGCTGGCAAATGCTATGTCTGTTTGTTTGTTTGTTGTTTAACGCCACACTCAGCAATATTCCAGCTATATGACGGTGGTCTGTAAAATAATCGAGTCTGGATCAGACAATCCAGTGAGTGACAGCATGAGCATCAATCCATGCAATTGGGATCGATGACATGCATCAACCAATTCAGCGAGCCTGACCACCCGATCCCGTTAGTCGCCTTTTACGACAAGTATAGTCACCTTTTACGGCAAGTATGGGTTGCTGAAGACCTATTCTACCCCGGATCTGCACGGGTCGTTTATTACTTATTACACGTTCATTTCCTGGAGCATGAATACATTTGGGAAATACAGTTCTCTTCGTGTTGTGATTACAGCCCAATGACATCTGCTTGAGGAAACTATGATCCATTGTGTTCAAAGCCAAATCTCAGATGACAGTGAAATGGTGAAAACCATATGAACTATCAGGGTGATGTGTTTCAAGCGTACATTGACTTGTGGACCAAGTAAGTTGTGGGTCTATATAAATGTTTCTAAGTCTTCCAGGGACTTGATGCCATAAACCTGTGGGGCTCTTGTCTCGTGTAAGTCCTGGCCACACAGTTTGGATCCCACGATGTATATCTTTCCTAGTTTCTGCTGGCTCCAGTGTAAAACTGTATCTATTGCAGGTGTGTATAAACCAACAATCTGTGCTAAACCTTTGAATACTACGAGACCGAATGGAACATCTTCTGTCAAATACCGGCTCTTAAAATCCGGTATAAACCCTTCTTCAGTTGTAATCAGGGGATGAAATAATCCCTCATACCCCTTGTTTGTTGTCAAAGCCTGTTTGAGACTGCTTGAATCAGTAATGGACGATCCATAACTGTCCAAGAGCCACTGAAGTCCACTTGTGGTTTCGTTTGGTCGTTCCTGTAGTATGTTCAACTTTATCATGTTGATTTCACCATCAAGGCGACTGATCCATTGTGCTTGGATGTCATCTGTACCATGGTAGAAAAGAGGCATCTCGGGTTTAACAGTTGTGTCCCAATCTTTCCATTTTCCATAACAAATTCCAAGATGCAATACACAGGGCATGTGAGTTAGTCCTAGGCTGTGACTGACTTGCCGAATAACTGGAAACGTTCCCCAGATGTGTTGTAATTGACGAAATGGATTGAGCAAGATTTTGTCATCATTGCGAACAATAACCATCTTCAATAACTCCTTTATGCCAATTACATCTACCTTGACTCCATACACAGATATTCTACAGGCCCAGGGAAGGGATTCCGCCGATATGATAGTGAGGTCATAGAATTTATTTCGAAGAATGTGACATGCTTGATACTCAAAACCTGCCTGTCCGGGCAAGGCAACAAGAATGGTTTTCTTCTGTACGTGGGGTTCAATGGCTGCCAGGTACTTCCCATGGGAAAATGCAGGGACGACCAAGACAATGATGTCTGCTCCTGGCACCACTTCTGCTGGGTTGTCAGATATTGTATGGGGGTTAGCTTTGTATAAGGTTGTTTTGCCGTTGTTGGAAGGGAATGAACAGGTCAGAATGTTGTTGGCTGCAGCTTTTGCCCACTCCCGAGCCTGCGAAAGTGCAAGGACGCGACATGTCATGTCAAGTGTTGAAGACACTAACGCCGCCATCACATGGGCTCCATGGCCACCACCACAAATCAGTACTGTTACAGTCATCTTCCGTTCTGTAATAGAAAGAAAACATGTAAGACCAGTCACTTTTTAGCTATGCAGACATATAGTTGTCCTCACACGATGAAGTAACTGAAGTAAAAGGAACATTAATATTTATTAGTTACTGAAACTACACTGAAATCCAATACGTTTCATATGAGTGACTGAGTAAATATTGCTTAACGCCGCATTAGCAATTTTGCAGCTATCTTTTTTTGTGTGTAATCATATATCAACCAATACAATAAAAGTGAATCACCTACAATTGTAATGGCAAAATAAATACATTTATAAATCCAATTTCTGATGAAGTCATGTGTCTTGATTTCAGCCTGTTTCGTATCGTTGACGTCCAAAGTCGGATTCCAAATGGTGCGTACATACCCATCCTACCATCTTCCCGAGGCAAGTTAGTTAACTGACTATAAAAGTCCAGTTTCCTACCTTGCCGAACTAGGCTGGTATTATGGAGTTACATTTTGGCTGGACTAACGAGTCTATGCATAGTCCAATCAAAATCGCGCACCGAAATCAAAATCCGGTTCGTAGAGTGTCATGAAGATTTCGGTCGACTGCAGGATTTGCAAAGCATGTGCACCGCTAGCTCGTTGTCAACAGATATTTTCTAAATTTGTTCATGTTTTTAATCAAGGTGCTCACGTGATTTGATGCACTTCGCGATGTAAGACTCGTTTTATCACAATATAGTTCTTGATTATCGATCAGATCGTCTTGACTGGGCGCCACCGTTTTGTTTGAAACAAATGCAAGTGATACGAGAGGTTGAATCTGATTGGTCAATAGGAGAGGTATAAAAAGGACATAACTCGTAATAGCCACTGGTGGCGCTACGATCGGGCCCAGGAATTCCAGCCTAAATCGGCAAGGGTGGAAACTGGACTTTTAAAGTCAGTTAACTCTCTTGCCTCGGGAAGATGCCATCCTACCTGAGCGTAGTCTTTCCAGGAATTCCTCTAACACCCTTATCTTAACCCCACCCGTTTGCCGAAAACGGTCCATCAGTCGGAATATCACAGCAAAGTGTCTTGCAGCTGCATTCTGTTATTGGCCAGGTTAAATCATGCCTTTTAAGCGCATATATTTCATTTTTTACCATGTCCACTTTACGAGGTATGTTACCCCGTTGTACCCTATCAGTGATCCATGTGGTTGTGACATCAACTGGCAAGTAACCAGGATATGTTAAAGTGAGCGGCATGTTTTAAGTGTGGAAAGTGCAAGATATCTATGTATAATTATCGACAATTTCCAGTATTCCAGATTTGTCAGCACCATACCCTTGCTCGGTGGTTTCAGGGGGCACAGGTGGCCCAGTCGTCTAAGGCGCCGCGATTCGCTGTGCAGAGATGCGTCCCTTGGGCACGCCAGAAACCTATGATTGTGGGTTCGAATCCCGGTTCGCCCCGATTATGTTTCTAGGTTTGTCAGCACCATACCCGTGTTGGTGGGTTTCACCGAAGTGGCAAACGTCTGAGACCTGTAACACTTCGGGCTTTCCTCCCACATTAAGCTGTCACGCCTCGATATAACTGGAATACTGTTAAAAGCGGCGTTAAACCCAACTCACTCACTCACTCACTCACTAGTGTACATAAGCCAACTGTTACAGCAACATGGATTTCAAATATATACTGAGTCAAATTAAAAACTTCACATTTTAAAAAGTAATCCCATATATGATATACAACAGACAAATGTATCAGAGAAGGTAATTTTTAATCATTAATGTCCAAAGAAGGATTTTAATTAACGGTGGTAACCATAATTTGTTCCAAGCACCTACGGTATTCGGTAATGACATCAACAGTTTAAGTCCCAAGCACGAGAATCTGATGGCACACAAGTTCAGTAGCGTGTTTGGCCACCATGTGCGTTGACAACTGCCACACAACGCCTCCGCATGGACCTTGTGATGCTTGTGAACACATGATTGGGAAGACGACGCCATTGTTGCTGCAAAATGGTGCCAAGATCTTGCAAATTCTGTGGTTGGTTCTGGGGAGTGTGCAGACTTCTGCCAAGAGCATCCCAGACGTGTTCTATTGGATTGAGGTCGGGAGACCTTGACGGCCAGTCCATGATGTTGACTCCCGCATTCTGAAGGAAATTCCTTGTCAAAATTGCTGTGTGGGGTCTGGCATTGTCATGTTGGAAGATCAAACCGGGTCCATGTACTGCCATAAAAGGCAGAAGTTCGGGTGCCAGTACCTGGTCGCGGTAAGAAGAAGCGTTGAGGTTGCCACGGATGACAAGAAGCCTGGAACGTGCATTGCCACAGAAAGCACCCCACACCATGACACTTCCACCTCGAAATCTGTCAATTTCCTGTACACAACACTGGGCGTAACGTTCATGACGGCGCCTCCACACCCTCGCCCTACCATCAGCAAATCGAAGATTAAATCGGGATTCATCACTGAAGACGACTTGATTCCAATTCCTCTGAGTCCATCGTAAGTGTCGCTGAGCCCACAATTGACGTTGACGTCTGTGTAATTGAGTCAGAATCGGCCCACAGTATGGCCGTCGTGCTTGAAGGTGAGCAGTTCTCAGACGGTTTCGAACAGTTTGCGCACTCAGTCTACCCCTAAACAGTTCATTTCTGGTTGATGTAGCCGTCAAAAATCGGTAACGGAGGTGACGTAAGAGAATCTGACGATCCTCTGCATGTGACGCCACACGTGGTCGACCTGGCCGAGGGCGATCAGCGGTGGTACCCGTTTGCTGTAGACGCGTCTGTAAATCGGACGTTCCCGTCTGCAACATGCCGATGGCACGTTCACGTTGCACATTTGAAAGGCATGGCATGACAAATGGCCGTAAAGACTTTTGTTTTCTTGTGTTTTTCTTTTTTTGGTTAATGACTGCTAACAAGTGTGGCTGAAAACACGTGCGGTATTATGGCCACGTGACCAGTTGCACGTGAAAAAACACTTTTGCCACTATAGTGCTGTGCACATGATTTTGATCGATTCACCTGCACAAAAACGGGTGTTATCTGAAGACAATACGTGGCCATTACTGTTTAAATTCACAATAAGGGCCCACAATGATAACTGGTCAAAATGTTAAAATTTTAGGATTGTGAAGTTTTTAATTTGGGATTTATTGGGATTACAAGACAGCATCTTCAGGCTAATCATTAATAATAGCATTTGCAGTGGTGATATCAGAAACAATATGAACAACTTCTTTGAGGCATTTAGAAGTTGGAGTACTAAGTAAGGATAAGATATATGGATGAACAACTTCTTTATTACAATTAGGAGCCGACCCGTGAAGATTCCGGGGTAGAATAGGTCTTCAGCAACCCATACTTGCCGTAAAAGGTGATTATGCTTGTTGTAAAAGGCGACTAACGGGGCCCGTGGTCAGGCTCGCTGACTTGGTTGATACATGTCATCGATCCCAATTGCGTGGATCGATGCTCATGATACGAATCACTGGATTGTCTGGTCCAGACTCGATTTTTTACAGACCGCCGTCATATAGCTTGAATACGGCGTAGTGCGGCCAAACCAAACCAAACAATTAGGAGCCACGTTTTGGTGTACGTTCTAACACCGTTCTATAACCGTGATGCAATCCGTTACTCAATACAACCCAAAATGAACTACATATAAGGAGACGTTTTTCTAGTAATTCCCTATTTTATTATACTAATAATTCATTTACTGATACCAAAAATTGAATTTATATCATGAACTATTTATTGATATTGCAAACCTTTACATATGAATAAAAGAATTTATTATATCTACTAATGAATCTTATCATATAACAAACCGAATTTGTGATATTTTAATATCAAAAGTAGTTAGTGATAGCCCCAATGGTGAATATTACATTCGCTAGAGTGTTTTGTATATTAGATATATTTGTACTCTCACTCTCCTGGATAAATGTTTGTCACCTAACACTGAGTAAATTTTCAGGGGATCTTTTTCGATAAAATGCAGCAATGACCGCACAAAGTGTCCCTGATGGTATAATATCAATAGTCCTTGTCTCGATGACCTAAGCTGAATAAAGCGACAAAACCATTTCCATATTCAATAGAAATATCTTTATAAAGCAGAGTCGATTGAACAATTCCGACTATATCATGTGCATGTGTTTTTGAATCGCCGCCATATAGCTGGAATATTGCTGAGTGCGGCGTTAAACAACAAAGAAAGAAAGAAAGAAAGTTTATGAATCACTATCAAATAGTAATGATACCAGGTGTTCGTGAAAAGGTGAGCGTGTCCTGCCCCACAGGTGGCACCCGTCACAAACACATGCAAAGGCAAGTAAATTGTTCAACTAAATAACACATGGGAACCTATGGTACAGGTTAAAATAGGGAATTTCATAGGATGTTATTTTTGTCACTAATGCATCGAATTTGGAAATGTCATCTGCATTTCTCCCATAAAACCTTTGGAAAGCTTTACTGAGGCCTTGAATGTTGTAACCTTAACCACACAACTTCTGAGCAAGAGTCGTATGACGCTCTTTAAAATCTTGGTGGAAAGAGTATGCTCGATTGCATCTTAAAAATTGCGAAATGTAAACACCAATGTCTGGAGCTGCTCTAATATTGTTCGACTATAGGAAAGTTGAAATCATCCCTCTTGTCATAAAGTCTTGTGGAGAGTGTTATGATCTTTATGCATAGATCTAAATATTAAACAGATGAGGCGGTCTCACTGCTCTCCTATATTTCCAGTTCAGGTGGGTAAATCAGTGGAAGAGAATTAGCTATTTGATTGTTATTGAACGATATAAAATCATCGATATGCCTGAAGCTTAGGTTAAACTTCTTGGCCAAGTTATCTTGTTTTGACCTTTGCCAATCTGAACAGAAGTTCCGATTCATATGCATACAAAGACATCCGCAAGAAAGGGAGCACAACTGGTGCTCATGGGGATGCCTTCTTGCCTAAATGACTTACCCCATAAATGTTACGTAGATGTTAACAATGAATGGTTGGTTGGTT